CACCCTATCAAGTGTTGCTGGAATGTTATTGGCTCTTTTTCACTACTACACCACCCCACTACTCAATATTCCATTGATCCCCTCCACACCTCACATGATTCAAATTTGGCCAATCATCTTTAAGCTTCAAATAGATAGTCCAAGTCCATCTTCTTTGATCCATGACCCATCTTCATAAGCCCACTTCATCCAAGTCTTCAACATTTTAAGCCCAATTCCTCTTTTATGGATCCACAAAGACCAATAATGCCTCTAAATCCCACCAAGCCCATATCCAAGCCAAACCGCAACCGCATCTAGACTCCAAAACCCTCAAATACCTTTTACGAAATAGAAAGTACCCAACACGATCCATGATAAAGAAAATAAAGAATATACAATGCAGTACTAATAAAAAGAGCTAAAAATTCTAAAATAAACTAAAAAAAAAGACCAAAAGATGGAAGTTAGAGGACTGGAGTTGAAAAAGACACAAAAAGGATGTTGTTGGACAGCTTGACCCCTCGTTAGTATTTTAGCCATATCGCATGACTCGTAACTCCGATTGATGACAATCAAAAAGTTCCGGAAACTAGACGAAATTTCGGACGACTTTTGTTTTTGTGCCAAATGCTAATTACCAGTTCTCATGACGTGAGAACTATAATCTCACGATGTTAGCTTGATTATTCCAAAAGATAACTACGTGTAATGCAAGTTTCCTTGTCAGAAACGGATTTATACTGATCTCACGACGTGAGACCATAATTCTCATGACGTGAGATGGATTATAAGGAAACTATAAATACTCATTTACATATTCGACTTGAGTAGGTTGGATTGATATTCTAGAAGTTATAGTCGATGTTAGAAGCCAGAGAACAACGAAATTCAACCATTGGAAGAAGAATTCGAGTGGAGATTGAAGATTTGAAGAATCAAAGAAAGAATTCACATTACAAATTTGGTTTGCATTAGAATTATCCTATCTAGCTTAATTTTTATTGTGTTTATGTGTTTATTTTCTTCCATGAGTAATTAAATCATTAGGCTTTCGTTTAGTGTAGATGAACCCTAATACTATGTGATAGTTTCTTTCTTTTCATGGATTTTATGAAGTTGGTTAAAGCTTGTGTTTGATTATCAATACCTAGAATGTTAAAGTTCTAGTCATTGTTGCTTTAGTTAAAGTTAAGTGTAGTTTAATGACCATTTGAATTGCATGAACTTGATTACCTAGTAGTTTATTATCATTAAATTGCTAGAGCTAGGAGTAACCAAATCTTAGATTAAGTAATAAAGGTAACAACTTTAGCTGTGTTAGAGAACATAATTTGATGATAATTGTGTTTAATTAATTGCCTTAATCATAGATAATTACTTTAGATATATCTTACATATGCCAATTATCCTTAATAATAAATTATGTGTTTGCTTGTATATGATCACTACATAGTAGTTCATGAATTGGTGAATATATTAGGAGATCGGATCAAGACTGCTAATTACATTAATATTGGTAACCAACTAAATAAATCCATGTTTAGAAACTATCCATAGGAAAAATGAGGATCCAAAGCTAAACAGAAGTGTTCTCATAATCTTGATTACAATTTTTCATAGTAGAGTGTTTGATTAGTTTTTAGTTAAGTGATTAGTTTAAGTTAATCTGAACTTGCAAAATCAGATAAAACCCTAATTTTAGTTATTGTCTTTATATTAGTTTTTAGTAATTATTTTATTAACTAAACCTCGTTCCATGTGTTCGATACCCAACTTACTTTACTATACTACAAACTGACTAGGTACACTTCATATAGGTGCATTAGTAGATAAGTAGTTAGGTTTATAAATTTAAAATTTGATAGGTAATATTTTTCACACATCACCCATTTTACCTCTGGTTTTCATGGGGTGCACTGAAGATCGAACGAGAGCAAGAGGTGGCGATGGGTTTGGTGGACTAGGCGATGATAAAGGTGGGGATGGTTGTGTGACGCCGGTGAGGATGGTTGTGGCAACATTTGAGGGGTGTTGTTGTCAGGAAATGTAACATGTGAAGGATCATCATGCAAACAAGGAGTGTAGAGCTTAGGTGGTGGAGGATTTATGTTGTAAAATTTTGGTCGGTAGACGATTAATCACATATGTCGCAGATGAGAAGGCATCGACCCAAAGTTTTGCGGGAGCATTAGCACCAAACAACATAGCAAGACATGTTTTTGTCAAATGGGGATGCTTGAGTTCTACAAATACATTTTGTTGTGAGATGTAAGGACGCGATATTTGATGGCGAGTACCATTATCAAGAAACAATTTACGCACCCGGATATTTAAAAACTCGGTACCCGCGTCACTTTGAAAGACCTTTAGATTGCAAGAGAACTGGGTTTGAGTAAACTTTAAAAAAATTACCAACACCTCATAGAAATCAGATTTTCATTTGAGAGGATAAAACCAGGAAAATCTGGAGTAGTCATCGACAAATAAAGCATAGTAATTGTATCCATCACCAGAGGTAATAGGAGCCGGTCCCCACAAATCAAAATGAACCATATTAAGAACATGTAAAGATATTTTATCATTTAACTGAAAAGGTGAACAATGTTGCTTTGAAAGTTCACAAGACGAACAAATAGTTGGATGTGGTAAAATAGAAGTAACATGCAAATATATATGCTTATTAAGAAGAAAAGTAACATCATGAGCAACATGTCCAAGTCTTTTATGACATAACTCAAAAGAGGCTTTAGTAGGAGAAATCACTGATGTCGCTAAAGCTTGAGAAACTGGATTAAAAATGTAGAGACCATAATTATGTGTGCCTGTTGCTAGAATCTTTTTGTTGATTGAGTCCTAAATTGCAAAGGCAAACCGAGAAAACAAGAAATCAACTGAGTTATCATTAGTTAACTTGCTGACAGAAAGTAGTTTCTTTTTTATATGATGGACTATAAGAATATCCCATAATTATAGGTCTGGTGTAACTGATAAGGTACCAATGCGAGAGATAGGAAGCACATGATCATTTTCGAAAGCAACCTTGTCTTTGCCTCGATAAGGAGTAGATGAGTCAAGTCCAATCGAAGATGGAGCCTTGTGAGATGTTGCACCATAATCCACACACTAATCCGGAGTGGAGTCATTTATGTTACAACCGACATTGAACGCCTGAACGAGATTTACAGCGGAGTAGGAGGACCTTTGAGCATAACTACCCAGATCTGGACATGAGCTAGCATTAGACCATCATGTCGACCAAATTGGCAATGAAGTGGTCAACGGCCACGACCCTAGAAGATGAATTACCTTGATTGTTTGATCGTCCAGACCTTCCTCTCCCACGAGAAGAGTTAGTAGTGAAAGCAACAGGGGAGGGAGGCGATTCATGTAAAGTAAAGCCAAATAATTCGTGACCTTCTGCCTGAGCAACAAGATCATGAAAATAAGGGCGAGTAGGAAGGGCTCGATGGGTAGTGGAGAAGGTCTCAAAAGTCGGCCCTTAGCCACACAAGAACCAGTGTCTCTTGTCAAGATTAGAAACATGTTTTCTAATTATTGTGAGCTTATCATAGATAGACTTGAATTGTTTGGCAAATTCAGAGATAGAGAGAGTACCCTTTTTGAGTTGACGCAAGGAATCCTTAAGATTCTGAGATCTCACGATAGAGGCATGGCTATAGGCAGACTCCAGGGCTTGTCAAACTTCACGAGGTGAGGAGAGACCCAAGACCTCAGCCATGGATTCTCCAAACAAAGAGGATTGAAGAACTAGAATAACTTTCTGGTCGAGTTCAACCCAAGCAGCATGGGATGGATTGGGAGTTTCTTTCCAGTCGACGAGAATGTATGACAGAGGGATGGTGGATGAGCCATCAACATGATTCATCCATTTTTGATGAAATAGCAGCGGGGTAACTTGATTTTTCCAGAGAATTTAGTTGGTGGATGTTAATTTTATGATGAGCATGTGAATGAGAGTGTTTAAGGAGAAAGAATTGTCAGAGGAAGACATCGAGAAAAGGAAAAGAGGCTGATCTGCAAAGAGAGGCGAATATGGTTAGGTTTATGAAAGGTATTAGGTTGATACCATGTGAATGTGGGATAAATGTTTCTCCTTTAATATTATTGATCAATGAACTATAATATATACAAGAGTACAACCCAATTATATGAGCTATACAAGGTAAATTTAATAACTAATGAGAAACAAATAAAGCTAATTATAGATGAGTTTTATCTCCAATAAGCAGCATTATATCTCTTTCAAGTTTAACAACTAATTCAACAACTAAACCTAATCGGCTACTTTTAAGTTTTCAACAAGACAACAAATAGACTTAAAAAGCTAAAACATTTATTGTTTCCTTCCTGAGGCCATGAAATCAAGATGTCAAGGTGTCATGTACTGAAATCAAGGGGACAGGGGCGATGTCGAAGTCTCAAGTTTGCATTTTGTCTTGTGTGGAGCTGTGAAATCGAGCCAAGGTGGTCAGATAGACGAATCACCAATAGCTTATTAGAGATGGACTAATATGTTAACGTTCTTCAATTTAATTTGCTAAGCCTAGCTATTAGATTTGGAATAACTAGTAAGCTTGTTGGACTTTAGAGTTTGGATGCATATTTTTTTTCATATATATATATATATATATATATATATATATATATATATATATATATATATATATATATATGTAAAATCAAAATCTTTTACACTTAGACATGAATATCTAAAGGGTAGCCCGACTACCTATGAAACAACAAACAAGAAAACCCAACTCGGCAACTCCTATATATGTTGAAGTTAAACGAACACAAATACACAATCACATGTAAATTTCATTAAACTTTATAATCATCGTTTTCAAAAGGTTAAATAATGAACATTTTTTTTTAATATATAACACTCAAATATCCAAACCCATATGACTAAAAGACACAAGATTTCAACTAAACATTAAGATTAATTAATTTGCAACCAAAAACCCTAGACACGAACATAACTTTCAAAAGCCAAATTAACCAGACTTGACTGTCCTTATTGTCCATGACATCAAAGACACAAACGTTGAAATCTTTTTACACAAGTAATTCTTCTTCTTGATGATCATGGGTATCTCATCATCGTTGGGTTTAATGAAAGTACTGTTGTCACGCAGGTAAAACTGCCTGCCTGGGAATCGGATCAGATGATCATTGTAGGGCAACAACATGAGCGTATGTACTTCAACGTCGTCGTTGTTGGAGGCGTCAATTAGCTTCTTTGAGAACAGTTTATAGGCTTCTTCCCCATTGTAAAAACTGCCTTCATTATCCATGGAGCTTCTACGTACAGCTTCTGATCTTGCCGACGATTTGATTTTGCTGTGTTGGTATGTGTATTATGAAGATTGAAGAGGAGATGTGGATTTATAGCGGATGTAGTTTCCTTTTATGCAGATTGAAGAGGAGATGTGGATTTATGGCGGACGTAGTTTCCTTTTTTTAGTTTGGGTGGTTATGTGTATGACCAAATTGCCCATGATCAAATCGGCAAGACTATGGAGGGAGAAGGAAGATTAGAGGGTGGATAGGTATTTAGGAATGAAAATTTTATATATTAGGAATTTTGGATTTTGGATGTAAAGTTTCCTTGTGGGCTTCTAATTATACATCCGAATAACTCGAGTCTCTATGTAAAATCATAACTAAATAATTAATTTTCAAATTTTAAGTTTCTTTTGTTTTTTTTAATTAAATGCAATATTTAAATTATCATAATACTTAATAAATAAACTGATAAAACTAAACTTATCTTAATCTTTCACGTTTTTTAAATAACGGTGTACAATTCGGTCGATAAATATTTGATTTTTTCTTGCCAATATATTTAGAGAAAATTACAAAATTAGCCAAATACACTAAACCCTCCTCTCCTGCACATTCTGCGTGTTCGACCAACCACTCAGAGCAAAGGTCAAGAAGACAACACAGAGTGGAAATGGTCCAAGTGATCCCAGGTACCCATGAATTCCTACACTTATTATAGTGGAAATGCCATAAAGCGCGAACCAAGATCCGTGAGACGAAAACCAAAACCAAGACAAGTAATAACAGGAGATCATCGTGGATGTTTAAGTCTAAATCGAACACTAAATAATAAAAGAATTGAAAACATCACTTGAGAAGCTTTACTTCTAGCAAAGTTGCTAAAATAGTAAAAATAAGGACTTAAAATGAAACCAAAAAGGAAGCCATGATTTTATTATATATCTTTGTCATTCGCTCCTTGCTCGCGGAGCGGCATACCGAAAAAACGATAGGATTTGAATCGATGACTTAAGCCCTTGCGCTATTCCCCCCTGATCGCATCGTAGATAGCAGTCAGAGTCAGTACGCTTTCTATTCTCTTTCGAAAGTGACATCACCATCGGCTTGTTTTGTTGAAATCGAGAAAGATCACTCCTAAAAGCAACCTTTCTCTTATATACGATAAGACGAAAAGCATTTAGTTCGATCGAGTTCTATCTATATCTATCTTCAAATCACATAAAATGGAAAGAAGAGCGCTTTTTCCAGCTAATCGAGTGCCTTTACTAGAGAGTGATTACTAAACTTAGTCTATGAAAATACAAGCGAAAGCTTGAAGAAAAGATAAAATGCGAACTTTCGCGCCTTCGAAAAGGCTTTAATTAAAGTGGATTTCGGGAATGGGTGCGTCCTCTCAGCTTTAACTTGTCGCTATCTCAATCACTGAATTCAATTTCCATTTTTTTGATTGTACGGGTGCTGAGGGGCTTCTATATAAAGCGAAAGCCCTCCGGACAGAGGGAATGGAACCCGCGCATCTCTGTTGACTTCATAACTACCTTGTTACCATTAAAGCTTTCCTGAATTCTGTCTGTCACGTATGGAATTGTAGTCTTTGGATGAACTACGGCTTCGTGCTGCGGCAAAGATTTCTCTGTATCAGGTATGCATCGCAAGAGAATATGAAACAAAAAAAAAGTAAAACGTCTTCTTTTTCCGCCCTCAGTCTGACTAACCTTTCTCTGTTTTGTATGAGAAAAGGTTATCAAAAGGTACTTTCGAAGGATATCGGGACTCAATTCAACTTAGTACCACCCTTCCCGCCAGTCCGCCCTTCCCCGAGTCTTTCTCTTTCTTTTGGAGTGAAAAAAGTAATGGAAATGAGTCATTTCACGGATAATGCTTACCGAGGAAAAATATACTTTAGCTTTACAACTACCAGAAAAGAAGAGTTCAACCTTACCCAGTTCTTTCTATTTCTCCCTTATTCGGATAGAATCGGAGCTATTTAACAGAGGAACGTAAGCCAACTCCCAACTCTCATTAGCGAAGCGTTAGTAGCTATCTTTCTGTCAATTACTTTCCTTGTCATCTTGATTGCCGCTCCGCACCTTACCTTTCTTTCCGGAAAAGAATTGAACCATCATTCATCCCATCTCCCCTTCCTCCAACTGCGCTTAGACCGACAGTGGCAAGAGCTTCTTCTTTGTTCACAGCTTGAGCGGATTCGATTCCGAACCTTTTTTTTTAGTAACTATAGTGATTCCTTCCCTTTCTCTTCCTTCTTTCCCAGAGCTACTGGCTCATTTCACTCTCTTTAAATAAGACCGGGAGTCACTCGCTTCCTAAAGCACGGGAAAGAGGGAAGATCTCTTATTTATGCCCATTCTTCAAAATTGAATTTCCCTTCTTCCAAGAGCTAAATCGATGGCACTTGGGATCCTTCCCTAAACTAAAGAATTTACTTACTTTGCGCCGGTATCATTTAGCTTGAGCCGGGAATTTACTTACCTTGCGCCGGTATCATTACCTTACAAATTTAGCCAAAAAAAATAAAAATTGCAAAAATAACCACGAAAATCACAGATGGAAATGACCCATCTGCGATTTTGGCCTTCCATCTGCGATTTTGGTTGTCTATCTGCGATTTCGCAGATAAAATTGTATAAAACCGTTTTTTTTTCTTCATTTTTCACTCTTCAATATAGAAAAACTCTCTCTCTCGGGGATTCCCTGTGACGATTTCTTGAAGAAAATTGACGATTATTTCAACAATCCCGAAAATATGGTTAGATTTTTACTCTTTTTATGTTTTAATTAACATTTATTTAGTATATGTTTTTATTATTTTATTATTTATTGTATTAGTTAGTGTAAAAAAAAATGAAATTATATTGTTTGTGATTAGGTAATTTTGTTGTATTTGATAGTTTTAATATTTTTTATTAGTAAACTTGAAGTTTAAATGTTATTTTGTTAGTGGTTGTATGAATGTACAAGTATAGACTGCGTAGAGTGTGCATTGGCTAGTTGTACATTTAGTAAAATGGTTAGAATATGTTAATTTTTTTAAGTTATTAGTTAATTAAATAAATTGTTAGAATAATGTTTACAATATGTTTGGTTAGTGGTTTAAGTTGATAAATTGATATAGCATGGTTAGAATATGTTATTTGTCGTTTATATAGTTGTTGTATAACTTGAAAAATTGTATATACTTATCGTATAATTGTTTTTATAATTTGAAAAATGGTTAAAATAATGTTTACAATATGTGTACAATAGTCGTTTGTATATTTGTCCTATAAGTTGAAAATTTGTATATATTTGTTGTTGAAGTAGAAAAAATTTTATAGTATGGTTAGAAAATATTACAATATGTGTACAATAGTCGTTTGTATATTTGTCGTATAACTTGAAATTTTGTATATATTTGTTGTTTAAGTAAAACAAATTTATAGTATGGTTAGAAAATGTTATTTTATATAGTTTGAAAGTTAAAAAAATTATTTGTATACTTGTCGTATAACTTGGAAAATTGTTTATATAGTTGTCGTTTAAGTTGAAAAATTGTTATAGTATGTTATTGTTTTTCAGCGTAAATATATAAATTAGAGAATTGATTAAATGTTTGTATTTGCATTGTTATTATTGTTTATGTTTATAAATTGAATGTCGGATTATTATTGCATTTAATAATTTGATATTTTAAAATGAAATAGTTGTTTAGTTTTCTAATATGTTATTGTGTTTTATGCAGCATGATTATAATAAGATCAATGTTAAAGCTATTGCCAACTTAAAAGGATCGGGGTGTAACATATGGGAAGTATTTGATGTGTTAGATGTTGTCAGACGTGATATATTTAGAGATACGGTATTTAGTTACTTGTTGGACGTCCCTCGTTTAGAAGGGGACAGATTGCTGTTCCACAAGATGTTTCTTCATCAGATACGATCGGACGCTGTTTTATCTTCAGATGGAATAAAACGGTTATATTTTAGAGTATGTGATACGAAAATGGTATATGGCCCGGAAGAGTTTTGTTTGATAACCGGGTTGAATTTTGGGGAGTATCCAAAAAATATCGGGAAAAAAGTGTCAGAAAAAATAGTTAGTGGTAAAAAATTATGTTTATTGCGTGAGCGGCTATTTCCGAACTATACAAATAGTTCGGTAAAAATCGGTGACCTGAAAAGTTTTATTTTAATTCAACCATTCTTAGAAGTTGGCGACGTTGATGCAGTTAGAGTATGTTTGATATACATTTTGTGTGAAGGTTTTTTGGGAAAAGAAATAAATGATCGGGTGCCACAAGATTGGTTTTTTTTTGCTGAGAATTTGGATGTCTGGAACAGGTATTTTTTTTTACTTTGAAAGTTTATATTATTAATGTTAATTTATATTAGGGAAAACTACAATAAAGTCCCTACATATTGACCTCATAATCGATTTAGTCCCTATATATTTTTTTTATTCAATTAAGTCCCAAATATCGGTAATCGTATTCAATTTAACCCTTTGACCCGGTCAACAGGTCATCCAACTTTCAAAAATTACATTTTTGGCCCAGATTTCAAAATTTATTACATATTTGGTCCAAAATTTACACTTTTGGCTCTGATTTTAAATTTTGTTACAAATTTGGTCCAAACTTTACCCTTTTTGCCCAAATTTTAAAATTTTATTATGAATTCATCCTAACTTTAGTTTTTTTACAACTTTTTTTTTCAAAAATTGTTTCTAATATGTTTTATCTTTATAAAATCATATTTATACAAAAAAAAACACATTTTCACATAAAAATTTTATATTTTCTAAATAAAAAAAAATTTTAAAAACTTTTTTGTATATGAAGTATCTAGTTATAAAAATATGTATTTATTAAGTATATAAATATATACAAATCCGTTTTCATAAAAAAATGTATGCAAAAACGTATTTTACAAAAAAATGTATACAAACACCTATCACCTATATATATATAGATATATATATATATATATATATATATATATATATATATAT